GACTGGCTCAGGTATATTGGATTTGGTCCTGCACAAATGACCAATTCATAAAAATATTGCTGTGAAGCTTAATATTTTCTGTTCCTCTTAGCAAAGACAGCTTGGCAACCGTTTGCATATTATCATTGTAGCAGAAGGAGCAATAGACCTCAGTGGCCAACCCATCAGCTGTGAGTATATCAGGCAGGTCAGTGATCCCATTTTAATTTACCAGACAATTTTTTTTTAATTTTAGAAATATACAACTGATTATGAATCCAACATATTTCTGTTCAGTTGGTGTCAAAAAGGCTTGGCTTCGACACCCGTACCACCGTCTTGGGACATGTACAGAGAGGCGGAACCCCGTCTGCCTTTGACAGAATCCTGGTATTCATCCATGACCTAAAATACAATATTTACGAAACAATACTTTATTTACAAAGTATTGCTTGTTGGTCTGTCTAAGTCTGCTATGTGATCAATCAGGCCAGCAGGATGGGTATGCAGGCAGTGATGGCCCTGTTAGAGGCCACACCCGAAACTCCTGCGAGTGTGGTCAGCTTGTCGGGAAACATGGCTGTCAGACTGCCTCTGATGGAGTGTGTGCAAGTGGTATGTCAGCCAGAGCGCACAAAATATTTATACAACAAGGATTATCAGTCTCACATAAATATGAAATGCACAGGTGCATAACATCAATATGTATTCTCACATTCTTAGACAAAGGACGTCACCAAAGCAATGGCTGAAAAAAGGTTTGAAGCTGCAGTGAAGCTTAGAGGGACGTGAGTCATCCACTTTTATGCTCTACATTTGGAAAAAATGCTGAATGTTGCATTGAGTCATTAATGTCTGCACATGTGTGCAACCTTTTGACAATAGGAGCTTTGAGAATAACTGGAACGCCTATAAAATGCTGTCGCACATTCATCCTCCAGATACAAAGGCAAGACGTGTATCACAATTTTTATATGACCAACTTCATCCTGCGTGTCTGACAAATGTTTCTGTGAATTTGCACCGACCAGAGCAATATCAACATAGCAGTAGTAAATGTGGGTGCACCATGTGCTGGAATGAACGCCGCAGTCCGTTCGGTTGTCAGAACTGGGCTCCTCCAAGGTCACCAAATGCTGGCAGTGCACGATGGATTTGAAGGTTTAGCCTATGGGCAGGTAATTTCATGTTACACACCTAGAGCCAGCCCTGACAGCACTCGGTAGCTCCTTCAGTCAGAGACTGTTACACCCGCGTTGCAAGACGGAGAGATACCGCCGCTCGTTCCTACCGACTGCTGTCAGGCTGCTGAATAAAAAATGAATAAATAAATAAAGCATAGAATTATTTAAATGATATGACAACATATGTGAATAGTACTGTGACTATTGTATTATATTGCACTTAATTATTGACCTTATCCATGTTTGTATTTATATTGCACTTAATTGAACTGTGTTTTCTTTTCTCTTCTTTCTACCCACAATCTTGCTGCTGAAGGCTGTAAATTTCCCCAGTGTGGGACAAATAAAGGATATCTAATCTAATCTAGAGTCTCATGATGAACATACTTTGCCTAGCCACTAGTGTACAGTATGTATTTTATGAGAGAATTTGAACTAATGTGCTTTCCGCGCACAGATCGAGCCTATTGGTTGGACTGGCGTGGCTGGATGGATTGGAAAAGGTGGCTCGCTCCTCGGTACCAAGAGGTGAGACAGCAATACCAATTGTCAGGTTTCTAAAACTGCACTTACAGGGTACATGTTGATTGGCCAACCGTGATTCTTTCCTATTTCTTTTTGTGAAGAACTCTGCCGCGTAAACTCTTGGAGGAGATAAGTCTGAACATCACAAAGTTCAACATTCATGCAATTATCCTCATTGGAGGCTTTGAGGTGGGTAGTACTGCAGTATTGTTATTCGACTAATGTTGCCCTGCGGACTGTTGTATATACTGCAATTATCCATCAGATAGAACCAACGTGCGCGCCATAAAAATTACATTTCACTGTCATGCTGTCTTTTTGCTCTCAACATAGGCATTTGCTGGCGGTCTGGAGATGTTGGAGGCCAGACAGAACTATGAAGAATTCTGTATCCCTTTCGTCATCATTCCTGCGACAGTCTCCAACAATGTTCCTGGTTCTGCCTTCAGTATCGGCTCGGATACAGCTCTTAACACCATAACCTCGGTATACTTCTTTTCACACAGAAACCTAAACTGTAAACAAACATTACACCATGTCATAATGTCCCTCTCCTTTTCCAATTTCTCCTTCTAGTCATGTGATTTGATCAAGCAATCTGCAGCCGGTACCAAGCGAAGAGTGTTCATTGTTGAGACTATGGGAGGATACTGTGGATACCTGGCAACTATGGCCGGCTTAGCAGCAGGAGCTGATAATGCCTACATCTTTGAGGAGCCTTTTAACATTAAGGACCTGAAGGTCTGAGTGGACTACACACACACACACACACACACACACACATACACACACACACACGTGTGTGTGTGTGTGGAAGAATTTCAGCATGCGCTGTCATGGATGTAAAATGTATTAGCAAAATTGGGAATCATTTGCTCTTGTTGCGATCCTTTGCCTTTATCCATCTGGATATGTTGACTCATTTTGGCAAGGATTTCATAAAAATATAAAAAAATGAAGCCGTCATGACCATCGGGAAAAAAAGGCATTGCGCATATTGAATTAGTTTGGTGAATCACATGTAAGTCACGTTTTTTTTTTCCTCAACGTACTTATAGATGAATGTGGAGCATCTGACGGAGAAGATGAAGACAACAGTGAAGAGAGGACTTGTTCTGAGGTTTGCATCAAATCCCAGCAATTCCACTTTCAAGGGGTTTACTGCCCTTCTTTTCTTCCCCAGAAATGAGAAATGCAATGAAAACTATACCACAGATGTTCTCTTCAATCTGTACTCTGAAGAAGGAAAGGGGATATTTGACTGTAGGAAGAATGTACTCGGACATATGCAGCAGGTACGGCATTCTGAGGAAAGAGTTCAATGTGAATTCCCTTTCAGTTCCATGAATACAGCAAAAACAATACTTTGTGTTTAGGGTGGAACGCCAAGCCCCTTTGATAGGAATTTTGCCACCAAAATGGGGATCAAGGCTATCTTATGGTTGACGGACAAAATTAAAGAATGCTATCGACATGGTGGGGACTGAAAGAAATTGAAAGCTTTTGGAGCTTGATATGTTTTTCCTGTGCTAATATGTGTTTTAAACTTCAAATCTCCAGGTCGCATCTTCGCCAATTCTAATGATTCCGCTTGTGTGCTGGGCATGAAGAAGAGATCTTTGATTTTCCAGCCTCTGACAGACCTTAAAGAACAAGTGGACTTTGAGTGAGACATTTTATTGTTTCAGTCAAAATACTGTGCATGGATTTTCAGGCGGGTGGGAAACAAAGTGAACCCTGCAAAATCGTTCATGTTGTATCGGCATGTGTTTGTGTGACTGTCAATTACATTTGGTTCCCCACTGTCCAGGTGTTATTGCCAGTATTTGACAGCAATGTATTCTTCTGATTATCCATTTGGCACTTTGTTTCTTCTGCAGACATCGAATTCCAAAAGAACAATGGTGGCTGAGGCTGAGGCCCGTCTTAAAAATCCTGGCCAAGTATGACGCTCGCCTGGACACTTCCAACATGGCTGAAATGGAGCATGTCATCAAGAAGACGGGCCAAGTTGCTCAATAGTTTTCGGTTGTAGTTATTCTTGCCATCAGCACTCCACTAGACTCCTGTGTTGACTGTGGCACTCAGAAGTTGCAGCTTAAAAATTGTAATGAAATGAAAATAAAGAGAGCAATAAACAATCGAAAAGACATTTTTTATTGAATGCAGACAGCCAAGGCACCAAAAAGCAACTTGCTGTCCTACCCTCTGTGTTTGTATTAACTTTAAATCAAAACGTTTTGCATAAAAAGAAGTCATGTCATTCATTCGAAAATGTGCGTGGTAATGCAATGTTTGCATTTCTGATCCATTGAGACAACATTTGAACGCGAAGAACAATTTCAAAGCCGGATTCATATGTCCCTGATGGTGTTGTGGTACACTTGCCTGACTTGTGTGTGGGCAGCGTGGGATTGTTTCCCAATTAGTGATGGTGTGGATATGGGTGTGAATGATCGTTTGTCTCTAAATGTGCCCTGCGACTGTCTGGCGACCAGTTCAGGGTGTAGTCTGCCTTCTGCCCGAAGTCAGCTGCAACCCTCTTCAGGATAAGCGGTGTTGAAATTGGATGGTTTGGCTCATTTCTGGAAACAGAAATGCCATTCTCAACTTTCAACATTCTTACATAACACGAGATATATTGTATTATAGATATAACAGAATATTGTAGACTTCTTACTCTACACTAATTTAGATTGTGTGTGAGTAAAATTGGGTTCCAATTTCCTTTTGCTTGACTAATATTATTTTAAAGCAAGGCCCGCAGGCATCAGGTAGCCTCCAAGAAGGACCACATGAGTTGCCCACGTACCTGTTCTAAAAATAGTACACCAATGAAGTGACCATTTGAACATGTTATTATTGGCATAGATTTCTAGAAATAAAACTGCTATACACTGAAATTTACAGTGTCCGTTTCCTACCATGTTAAATCATTGTTGATAATTATCGTGAGAAATCATGCATGGACCTGATCATTGTCTTGACATACATAAATATCATTAGTAACATATAATTCAATGCAATTTTAACAAAGTTGTTACTTCAGAAGTGTGAATGAAACTAGTAGTCCTTTCCATTACTCCCGAAGAAGCTCTGACTTTGAAAAAGGATTGGTGGCCCGTGTTCAAAAGTGATGCCTGGTGAATTCGAATTTAAATCATCAAAACATTAACCATAAACTCAGTGCATAGATGAGGATCAAGTAATGTCAAAACAAGTACTGTAACACAGTACGTGAGTTGATAACTGAGGAGGAAAAAACTTCAATACCCATGTTACCTTGCGCTTCCGGGAAAGGCGGATGCAGTTTATGATTGGTTAACAAATGCTTTTTCAAATATCGTGCGCGGTAGCTATTTTATGATTTCACCCTTTTCGGCGATCTGTTGGAAGCCATCGTTATGCTGCTTGTTTCTGTAATCATAAACAACGAGATATCTCTCTATCTCATGTAATTACAGGTATTGTCGCCAAGGATATCCAGTTGAAGTAAGTTGTTGTTACCTCTGCTTCACAACGTTAATCAGTTGCGTTACGTATCGTCATGTGATTTCGATTATCTGGTCGTTAGTCAAAGAGGCAAACTTGACAAATTTGACTTAAGTTAGTGAACGTGTTTTCCTCCAGGTATCTACAGACGTCATGAAGTGTTTGAGCGGGGACGAGTTTATCAAGCGGACTGCTTCATTCAACGAGGCGCTGCTGTTATGTCAAGAGTTCGAGGTTTGCAAAAGAAACTGTTTAAAATTACAACCATCGTTTAACGTCCATAGACGAATAAATAACCGAACCATTTCGGAAATTAATCATTCGGTTGCTACATAAATAAACAGACCTAAAAGTTTCCATTCATTTGCTGTCAGAAAACAGCTTTAATATCTTATCACAGTACTACTCGGGGTGAATTTGTTGAACATGATGTGCCTTTTGGAATCTTCCTCAAAATGTGAAAACGTCCTTGATTTTTTTTCTTTGAAGATTGAAGCTTTTGTTTTTCATTTTGCAGAGCCTTGTTAAGCGCGTGCCATCTTATGGTCGCACACTGTGTGACAAGATCATCAGAGCCTGTAACCATCAACTTGGACTTGGCTCACTGGAATTCAATCACATAAGCCAGTTGGTCAAACTTGTGGAGCTTGCCGTTCATGGCTATGATGTCTATTCTCAAAGCCAAAGCAGTCCTCTATACATGGAAAAGATCATTTTTCATATAGTCAAGAAGCTAAGCTCTCTGCAAGTCCACAATCTCTGCAGCCATATTGCTGCATTGCTTTACACCAGGCTTACATCCACACATCAGGTTTGTACTGCGATTTATTATTTTTTTTCATTTTCCATTACGTATATCTCTCCTACACTACTAACACTCATTATTCCATATTGTTGTTAGGATGAGAACTATTATGTTCTTGTGCGTAGCTGCTTCTCTGTTTTGTGGAACGGACTCTCTGCTAACATGGATCAGAAGGTTCTCAATGCCAAAGACAAACTACGTTGCCAGTTTCAAGCCCTCAACTTCCTTCTGTTGTTGGACAGAGAAACTGCGATTCTTTCCAAAGCGCCGGCATACATGGAGAGTGCCGTCTGTGAATTTGCAAAAAATTGTGATGCAGTGAGTGAAGAGGATGCCTCATTTGTTCTCCATGAAATGCACACTCTTTTCGACAGATCTTGGAGAGATAGTCAAGTCTCCAAGATTGATGGATCTACGCCACCTATTGTTACATCAAGCATATACACGCTTGTTGAAATTGCGCTTGTTATAATCAAGATGCTGTGTAAAGCTGGGCATCATAGTCTGGCCTCCACCTTTCTGAATGATTTTGGGGTCAAAGTGAAGAACGAGACTGACTGTTTGGCTGCAGCTCTGGAGCTCGGGAAATGGGCTGTAGAAATCCATTCTATGGCAGCACCCCATAAGTATAGTGATAAGCCTTTGAAAGAGTGTTCCAGGGCCTTGAGGTCTCTTCCCCCAGAATTGGGCGAAAGTGAAGCTCATTCTGTCCTCGAAGGATGTGGACTGGTGGTGTGGGTTGTGGAAAATTGCCATAAGAAGCCATTCAGTGGTCCTGTGCTGCTGGCCTGGTTTACTTTTCTTGAGGAGCACCAAGACCAGATCATAAAGATCCTGAAGGTTGGTGCTCTTTAAATATTTACTACTTTACTGTCAATTAACTGATTTTGATGTGGAAAAACTTGGCAGTTCTGACCTTTAACCCATCCAACACCTTTGATGAGCCAGAACACAGACAATGAGCACTATTGTTTATTCAGTGATGCCTTGAGATACGAGTGACCAGATTTAGGAGTATTTTTTTTCTCCCGCCCAACATATGGGTTGTAGATGAGGTGGGAGATGACTCAACTCCATTCACAACAAGCAGCAGTGAATTGGAAGATAAATAGTTTGAATCATTTAAAATTGAGGAGTTTTACATGATAGCAGCTCTTCTACGGCTGTGTATTGTTACCGCTCAGCGACGTACATTGCTGCAGTTCTGGGAACCCGAGAGAGGAGGTGACCCAGCTGAGCCTCCAGTACAGTACAGTATATCTGTGTCTGTCTTGTACTGATCCCTGGTGGCCAAGGCGCACACTCCAGAATGGGCAGCACGGTGTGGCGTTGAAGGACAAAATGTGACAAGAAGTGTTTCCTTCGAATTGTTTCTTTTTATCGTTGCTTTGTTTTTATGAAATATAATAGCATGATGTTTTTCTTATTGAAAAATACAATACCAAAACCTATTGTTTAATTGGGGGGGGGGTATGATTGGCATTTCGAGTTACGGTAGTGCAATTGGAAATTATGATTTACTATATCTCAAGGCATCACTGTCCTGTATATCTATTGTGTTAATGATGATCTTTTAATTTATGTTTTTATTTTTAGAGCTCAATATTAAAAAGTGAGTGCAGCAGACTTCAACAGACCCTTTGCGTCAGTATTTACCTAGGCTTTGGATTTGCCAATGAGAGCTTGCTCGACTCACAGGTAAAAAAAAAAACAAAAAAACAAAACACACTTCTTTTCCCATAAATTATATTTAAATAAGATTGACGTGATGCTACCAAAGTTCTAGCAGTGCAGCTCCATATATTTTGTGTGTGTATGTATGGATGGATGGATACCATTTCTTGATTTCTTTCATTGTCTTTGTTAGCTGGAGGACAATGAAACTCTGGCCAGAGTGCTGCTCTACTGCCAAGCCACAGCTGCGCACATGATGACTGAAATGCGCAAATTGTCAAACGAAGACCTTCTCATCAAAGCAGGTGCTTTGAACCGCTGTTTAAAAGAAGTGTGGGTGGATTTTGAAGAGCACAATAGATTTATAAATCATACAATGTTTTCCTGCTGCTATTCCTGTGTAGTAATTGCGGTGAGCAACTTGGCCTGTGGCTTGTACAATCAGCGTCTGTATGACCAGGCCTTCACACTTCTTGAAATCCTGTGTCATAATCTAAGCAAGAACTGTCCTGTTTCGCTCTCTGTTGATAGGGTAAGTTATTATTACTATTTTTTTATGAATTAAATGATGATGATAATATTCAGCACGGTAATTCTTTATTTTGTCTTTCACCAGTTCAACCGACCCTTCATGCTAGCTGTGCAATCATCGCGGCGAGCGGGGCACCTGGAACGAGCCCTTGACTGGGTCATTCTGTGGCTAAAGGCGTTGGGAAGTAAAATGGCTTTACATATGACGGAGCCAATCTCCTTGTGGGTGAAAACCAAGATGGATAGTGCAGATAAGTCTGAAGAGGACATTCGACTCAGGTTTGCACCAGTTCTAATAGTTATAACTTTTTCAGTCCAGTTAATATTTTATTTGACCACACTGATCGTAATCTCATAGGACGATACGTGACGGTTTTGGTCCTGACATTCCGGATGAAAGAATAATGCTTTGCCTTTTGGATGAGGAGTTGCGCATCTATAAGGAGGAGGCAGGTGACACCTCGCAGGAACGCTACAACACTCTTTGCGATCTGCTGGACATCTGTCATGAAGAGAGCTCCCACACCCACTTGCGTGCTGCCTACCTCTGCGAAATGGCCCAAGTTGTTTGTTTTCAGGACTTCAGTGAACAAACTGACTGGTAAGAGCTTCTTCTGTTCAATTTCTGAGTACAGTTAAAGAGCCGACTCTCGTTGTGATGCCTCATAAGAATAAAATGTGATGACTTCTGCTATGGCGGGTTATTTCAAAATATATTTCAGTTTCATTTTACGTGTTCATTTGTTTCTCTGTAACAGTACGGCAGTTGATTTTACTCATGAAGCTTTACGGCTCCTGGAAGAGGAAATCGAGACTCCTGAAAACACAAGCCGACTGAAGGACAACAAGGCCCATGCTTTGCTTTGGCTTTTTATCTGCACTCTTGAGAAGAACCTTCAGGAGGTGTGCATTGGTAGATGTGCATGGCCTGAGTTACAAAGGACATTTTTGTGCCCACTTTCTCACACAAAAAAGTAGAAATTAGTGTTGATAGTTCAGCAATTAGTAAAGAAGTAGGAAATAATATGTTCCCATAGAAATCGTACAGTTTGTCCAGTTACACATTCAACATTTGTTTTCACTGTAGACTGTAATGTTTTGTTAGTTTTACTTGATTGGCGTGTCCAATGTCCGAGAAAACTGAGAATCGCTCGGTTTGCAAGAAGACCTCTTGTTTCATTATTATGATGTTTAAGTGGTGTTTTTTTTCTGTATCTTTCTTGCTAGGCAATTGAAAGGGATGCAAAGCTTCGAGAAATGCGTAAGCAGTCGCCGTGTGTAGAAAATCCTATTGGGACCAATGATTTTAATCTTGAAGACAAGCAGAAGAATGAGGGCAACATTTTGGTATATGATGGTCTGAAATTCAGCTTGGCTGCACAGAACAGTATGTACACCATTACATCTCATTTTAACTAGAATTTGTGTCACCCCTTTGTTTACATATTATTTGTGAAATTAGAATCTTAACATTCTTAATGTTATGGCAATTTTGTTTTTGTTCCACAAAGAGTTTTGCCAACCGTTGGAAAGAGCGCTGGCTGAGTGGGCCTCTCTTCTGCATGCTCCAGTTTTGCCTTCTGTCAGGAATCCTAAACAGACATGCAACTCTATTGTGATGACTGGATCTCTCTTCAAACTAATGGGAAAGGTAAGAAGACAATGCATTTCTCCGACCATTCTAAGTAGACTTTACCCACTTGACCTGGGGAGTTTTAAACAAGTTGACAAGTCAGCCTGATTAAAAGTTTTGTATGATGTAATCTGGTTGCTTTTAATGTTTTTATTTGTGTTCACCACTGTATTTTTACTTTGTGTGTGTGTGTTCATCAATTTAGCCTCTTAAAGCTTTGGAAGCATATCAACTTGCTGTTGAACTTTCCCGTCAACTTGGCGACACTCAAGGATGTGCATATTCCCTCTGTCAGTCGGCCAGCCTCCTCTTGGAAATGGGCTCCACTGAACAGGCTTTGGTAATGCAATTTTCTGATGATGAAACTCAACACACATGATATATCCAGATCATTTTTCATTGAGCAGAAATGACTTCCTGAGTGATGATGTTTTCAGATTCAGACTGAACAAGCAGAAAAAATGGTCACCACTGATCCAAGCATTGAAGGACCTTCCTCTGTCTATCTTTTCATCATTTTGCTGAAATCTCAGTGCTGTTACAGTACTGGACAGGTAAGCAACAGGTGCCCAGCTATAGTTGCCATATTATGAAGTTAGAGAGATGAGATTTGTATTTTTATTTCATGTAATGGTATTTCCACTTTGATAGGTGGATTCTGGGGTATCCTATCTGTGTGCTGTGCTTAAAGAGGCCAATGAGCAGAAACGTTCCAAGGGCTGGTATATGTTGCGAGCTCAAGCACTCCAAACTTGCAGCTCCTACCTCAGTTTGGACACAACTTCCCTGCCACAAACGCAGCGGAACCGCGTTACACAGCATGGTAGACTATTTAACACCTAACCAAAAACCAGCTAACTTTTTTTGCTTACATCATTATGGTGTCGTGTAGCTGAATACCTCAGTTTTAACATGGTTGATTTCTGCGTTTGTATCTCAGGTTTCAAAAGCCCAGATACTGCTTTGTGTGAAAGCATGAAGCTCCTCAGCAGCCTGCTGGTCACTTTTGTGGGTAAAGGCTTGTATGGCAATAATGGAAATGGCTCAGATGTGCGCTTCATTGACAAAGGTGTGTTATATAAGAGTAGTGATCAATGTAAACATTTAATTATTATTATTTTTTTGTCCTTGGTGGTATTGTGACCCTTCTCTTGATCAATGACAGGAAATAATCTTTTGTTTAAATGGCGGCTGCTGTCGGAACTGTTGACCTGCTCAATGAAAGTGATTATGCTGCGAGTCAGCTGTGGTGCTATCAACGATGCTCGACTGCAGTGTCAAGAAGCCCTGAAACTTGCCATCAAGTTGCAAGCACTGAGCCAGTAAGTGCATGCCTTTAATACCAGTATTGTGTACCGATGTGCAGAAAAATGGCAGAACTGCTATCGTTTCACAGCACCTTGTTGCACTGTTAGTTCAATGACAGGTCATGCTCATGAGGCACTCATATAATATTCCATAAACATGATGCATTTTATTTTGATTGTCTTAGATGTGCTGAGCTGATGGTGATGAAAGCTGAGTTGGAACTAATGCAGGGGGAGATAGCGGAAAGTGGGTTTGATTTGGACAAAGTCAGAAACCTTCTGGAAATGTACACAGGTTCGCATAAATTGGTCGCAACTTAATTAGAATCACCCATCTGAAATATGTTTCTCTGATGCCTTTGATTGTTTTGATGTTTAGTTTTCTAATTAGCTTTGTCCGTTCAGATTTTGCAGAACCAGAGTGCAAGTCTGAAGTTAAAATCAAACCGAGGAAAGTTCGTCCATCGCTAAAATCTCGTTCTCCATTGCCTATAATGGAGGATGACCTGAAGGACATCCTGAGTACAAGGTGGAGTGTCAAAGAACCAATTGTGAGGGATGAAGGCAGCTCTCCACCTCTCAAGGCCAAACCTCGTCGTTGGCTCTCATGCCTCTTACACAAACCAACCTGCCAGTGCCCTTGCTGCTCGGAGCCCCTCCTGAGCCGCGCCACCGCTCGTTGGGCAGCTGCAGAGGCTGATATGATTCTCCAATTGGACCATTCTGAAGCCAAAGATGGTTTTAAACTTCACCGGACAACATTAGCTCGTTGTAAGACGATCACTGCCAAACTTGCGACTAAATTGGCTGAATTCTTTCCACTGGGTGGCCCTGCAAAAGGGTCCACTGAGCCCTCTCTTATGCATGATGTGATGGGTCGGGTGTACCTTCACATGGCTGTTTCTGGTCTTGAACCCAGCCACAGTAAGGTTTGCAGCATATGGAAAGTACTTGAAGCTGGTTTAGCCTTTGTTGATTCAGTGCGCTCCCCGAAACTCAATGCTGTGAAAGCAGGCCTCATTGCAACCAAAGCCATTGTGTCGTTGGTTAACTTGTCTAGGAAAAAAGAGTGCAGGCTGGAGGAACTGTTCTCAAGTGTGTGGACTTGGAAGGCACCAAAACAGTTGAAAGCTCTGAAATCATACCAATCCTCACTCAAGGAGCCTGAAGGTTTATCTCTGTCCGCAAAACATAAGCAGACAAAACTCAAGGTCTCCAAGCCAAAGATCCAAGTCCCAAGTTCTGCAGCAAAAAGGAAGGGTCCTATGACTCCAATTATGATTCCGATGACTCCAGTGATCAAGTCCAATTTCTCTGCAAAGGAACTTAGCACTTTTGACTTCAACACAGCGGTATCTCCGTTGGCCTTCACGCCAATTCAGAAAGCCAAAGCAACGGCCACAGTACAAAAGTCACAGAAAACCGCTTCTAAGCTGCAGTTTCAGGTGTTTGATGAGTTCCTACCCGTACAAGACAAAGTTCAGCCTGTACCTGCTGCTCCAAGACGCACTAAGAAATCTCGATTCAAGGTGGGCATGAAATCAGATGAATAAATTATGAACTGGGTAATTTTTGTTTTTGGACTAATAAGAATTTGAACTGTCTTAATACAGGTGGAGTTTAGTGATGAGAGTGATGCAGAGAACCAAGCTCAGGAAGAACTGATTGAAAAACTGTCCAAAAAGAGGAGCACTACAAGACAAGCTACTTGCAGAAACAGGGCTGCCTCAACTGCCCCCGCTGAGAAAATCCCGCCTACAAGGCAGACGAGGAAGAAGAGCTGTGCACTACCTCGAGACACATTGTCCGGAGACGAAACTTTGGTGTGTCGAGGGTCCTCAACAAGACGCTTAAGATCCAGAAACGTATCCGGCAAGAAGTTGGAGTTAGAGGAGGAGTCAGACAAAATGAGGGCCGATGAGGAGGAAACTAATGACGTTCTAGACTTGAGCATTGAGTATTTGAGGGCGTCAGACACCGAAACAAAAGACTATGCTGCTTCAGGTAAAACCATTGATGTTCAACTAAACTGATGGATGATTGAAATGTATACAATAGTACCAGTTTACTCAGCTGATGACATGACACTGGTGATAAGGACAGATTTCATCTAAAACTGACTTAAGTTTGGCACAACAGGAGGCCGTCATTTGAGCAATCATCTCTTACATTTAACCCCCCCCCCCACCCTCTTTTCATCTTCAAAGACATACATTTTGTCGAAGTGTTGGGGAGGTATTTGTGTTGTGATTTGGAGAGGAAAGACTTGCTTAACAAGAAGTGTGACCATCAAGCAAGAGGCCCTCAAGCACATCTTCCTTATCCGGACCCCGGAGCGGGTGAGATTTTACGGAAATTGTTACCTGAAATACTAATACAGATTACTTAGTTTACAAGAAAAAAAGTGTGTGTGTGTGCGTGTGCCTGTGTGGACTGTATCGTTAGTTTAGCATTGGACTTTATCTTAACCATGTTCTGTATATAACCAAAAAAGAAAACTCTTTGCCTGCTATTGATGGTAATCCACATAAAATTGTTCTTTTTTTCTTCTTCCAATTGTGTTCAATAGACTGCAAGGGCAACACCGAGTACTGTATAAGAAGTGTTTTTCTCTCTTATTAATCAGTTTCTTCTGTTTTGTAGACAATCTTTCATTTGAAGATATTCAGGTATTACTTCGCTCATCTTGGCTGGCCCTTCAGCACTTCCCCCCTCCAGTCATTTTTCCAAACCTCTGTGCCCTTCTGGCATTATCTATGGGTCACCATGATCCCATAACAACAGCAATGCTTCATTCCCAGTCTTTGGGTATCACTAGCCGGCATCGCACCATCAGACACCTAGCCAGCTCTCTGAAGTAAGTAGATTCACCATGTACTCTGGCATCATACAGTATTGTGCTGACAAAGTCTGATGTACAGTGTAGCCTAGTGTGTTCTTTAAATTGGTCATTTGTTGTGTCTTTAATAGAAAACTGAAAAAGGCATCCAGCGAGCTATCAGATCAAATGGACAGCCTAACTCTAGATGAGTCGAGTCCCACTAGTAGTATGGAACAGATGTCTCAGTTGGAGAACATCTTTTCCTTTCCGACAGCTGATTGCTCAGACTTCCCTCAGAGCCACTGCCAAGAGTTTGTTCAGCAAATTGAACACCTTCCTTCAGGTGACATACAGTGTTGTTAAGACTCACTCTACCTCTTTGATCGTGAGGGTGAAAGCAGAATGTTTCCAAATGCTTCTTTCTCTCTTTGCCACAGGTGTGACTGTGTGTGTAATGTCAGTGGTTGGAGTCAAAGCTCGGGAAGTGGGTGAAGGCATCCTACTGTCCCGACTCGAAAAGGGATCTCCTCCCGTGACTGTACACATCCCCACCTCCACAGAGCCGGTAAGCCCCCAAAAAATATATATATATCTGCCGCACCCCTCCAGCAATATGCTTGATAATATGGCCATCTGAGAAGGCAAATCACTGGTACAGCTGTAATAATTGTAGGGTAATGTAAATTAGAAAAACGAAAGTAGATTTGTGTGCCTAAGGGAAACATTTTACTTGCTAAAATCATCAGTGGCCTCAGGAAAATATTGGCTTGTGCAGCTTGTTGACCATACAGTCCATTTAGTACTCATTAAAAAAATATATATATCTGCCGCACCCCTCCAGCAATATGCTTTTACGTTTCTGTACGCATATTTCTCTTTACAACTGTCTTCTGTTCTATAGCACTCAATTAGATGGCTGGTCCAGGAGATGGACAGTATTCTGGTGGATCAAAAGGCTTTGAACAGTGTGTCTGAGAAAGCTCTGTGGTGGGAGGGCCGCAGGGCACTTGACTCTCGAGTCAAGGTATGTAGTAATTAAACACACACACACTGTATTTGTGTGGATCACAAAGGATGCTGTGCTGATTTGGCCAAACGTATCCAGTTAATGTTGTTTGTTTCATGTTTTAGCAATTACTAAGAGAGATGGAGCAATTGTTGGGGTGCTGGAAGAGCCTCCTCCTGCCTCTTTCATCAGATCCCAAGCTCTCTGCGGAGGCCCAGCACCTTTACAAAACATTGTGTGCCAAGGGAATGAAAGCCAGTGAAGAGATGTTGAAGGTGTGCCTTTTTCTTTTTCTGTTCGACTCTGTTGGCAACAAAACACCTAATTTGGATTTTGTCTAGGTTGTCCTATCTGCAATCCCTCTGCTGTCCCAGAAAGACTTGAAAAGCTTCGCTCTGGGAATTTGGCCCGAATGGGACTACGATTGTGAGCAGCTTCTCCAATCCGCTGTTTTGCAGTTGGCAAAGAGAGAAGAGCCTTGTGGTCATGTGGTTCTCCTTCTGGACAAGGTACTAAACTTGTTATCTGTTAATTGTTGCATGGAACAGTGTATCTTGCCTGTGATTGAATCATTATGGATCCCAAACTGGCTTTTCCTCCACAGCACCTCCAGAAATTACCCTGGGAGAGCATCTCCTTCTTAAGGTTCCGCTCTGTGAGCCGCATGCCCTCTCTGCAGTCATTAATTGGACTGAGCATTCAGAAGGAGGTATGATTTATCCCATGAGATTACATCAATGCACTGTGTGAAATCATTCATCAGGACTATGTTGTTATCCTTCTTCAGAATGAACATCAGTCCATCTTGAAGCATGGTGTGGACCCCAGGAATACGTTTTATCTTTTGGACGCTAATAACAACTTAAAACACGCAAAGGAACAATTCGAAAAGTGGTTCAGCAGGTGAGAGGAATACTCACAATTTGGACAATTGCAAGCTTTTCTTTGTTTCCTCACCTTCCACCTCTTTTATTTAAGCAAACCGGATTGGGATGGTGTGTGTGGGCATGCTCCAAAATCCGGACAGCTGGAAGAAGCCGTTGCCACTAAGGATCTATACATGTACGTTTATAAGAAACTAAAAATTGATGGTGAAGGACAACTTAAGATACTCTGTACTTGCAATTACAGGAATAGAATATTCCATTATGCCATAAAGCACAATACAATACAGTTGGTGAAGTGGTGCCTTCTATTAAATGCAACCCCTCTCCCCTTTGTGTATTGTGGACTCCACCCCTTTGGATGCTTCAGTTATTTGGGCCACGGTGCCGGCACACAATTCCTTGACAGCCAGGTGGTCCTGATGCGACCAGTGAGAGCTGCCTCTCTGCTTATCGGCTGCAGCAGCGCTGCTCTGGCTGTGCGGGGAGATCAGGAGGGACAAGGCATCATCCTCCACTACCTCATGGCCGGCTGGTGAGTTGAGTTTGCCTTTTTAATCATTACAACTTACACAGAATTTTAGAGAATGAAAAAAAATAATGAGAGAAGAATGACTGATGCATTGTGTTTTCTGTTCAGTACAAAATACTCTTGTATAAAAAAGGTTCGACAATAGTTGGTTGCTAAATTTGTGTGTGTGTGTGACGCACACAAATTCCACAGCCCCTTTGTGTTGGGAAACTTGTGGGATGTAACAGATCGGGATATTAATCGCTTCACCAAAGCCTTGCTGGAATCTTGGTTATCATCCGAGTCTGGGAGTGCCATGCTGGATTATATGGGCCCTTCACGGCAGGCCCCTTACCTGCGACACCTCATCGGAGCTGCACCTGTGGTCTATGGTTTACCAATTCAGCTAAGGTAGTGAAGGCCAATCAGCTGTTACTCAGAATGACATCCTCCACATCTATGCAGTCTATGCCTTTTTTTATCAGATGGTTTTTCATTTCACTTGAAATGTTAATTGTAAAGAATTTACTTTTAATTTAAAACCATTGTTTTTTCACCCAACTTTTGCTGAGTGTTTTAATGCACTTTTGATTGACTAAAGTTCAAATAAATGTTCTTCGGATATCTTGATTGATGAGTCTGCCCCAGTTAATAGTGATAAGTTTTAAGTTCGGTGTTTATTATTTACATGCAGTACAAATGACAAGTTTTTAATTTCTTTGTAACTGCAAAATATAACAATTATATTTAGGGCCAATAAAACTGTTGGATTTTATTTGAATTTATATAACAGTTTGAAAGTTAGAGCAATGTTCATATTGAACTCTGAATGTATATTAGTTGGGCTGAATAGATATTGACTCATCGACTTGCATTTTCACTGATTTTTGAAACCTGTCACGTCCAACTTATTCTGCTTTCTGAGCATGTGATGTCTGGTGTTTGGATTGTGATTCTAAACTAGTGTGCCGTGAGAAATGAAGTGTGTTCTGGGAAATGAATTTCACTTTGCTGGTATGAACAATGTTTACTACATGTGATGTAAGGTTCATTTTAATCTTAACAGTAATGGACAGTGACAAGCAGAACAAATAAACTGTTCTACTAGATGTCAGAAGTTGTATTACAATTGATGAAAAACCATTGAGCACTGTATTCCTAACCTTTATATCCAATTTTACTTAGTATGTGTGTTTTAGTGAAGTCGTAGAATGACGGGTGTACTGTGCCTCACTAACAGCGCACTTGTCCAGGCAACCTAAAATGGGTGTGGAATAAATGCTCAAACCCGAATGATGATGCGACATTTTGGGGTGATCTACCGTGAAAGTAAAATGTGTCGGCTAAATGTTTGTGTAAAAAAAAAAAAAAAAAA